ACATGGTACAAGTTAAGTTGTACCAAAAAAAAACATGGTACAAGTTAAGAAGGGTGTACAAGTACAACAACATAGTTACCTTATTTTCCACGCGAAGTCAAAGATGCTCCTTCGTTGGATGCTTGTTCGCAATTGTGCGATTCGGCGTAAAACCGAACCGACAAACCAAATAATGAACTTATTAAGAAAAAATATGTCGTCTAGCATTAAAATGTCAGTGTAGCTAATAAATTAATTTTTATATAACAATTACAAGAAAAAAAAATAAATTATTGTTATTTTTGTTTAAAATTACTTTCGTCGCTCGTAAAACTCACTCATTCTTATATTTGTATATATATTTATAAGCTTATATATTATTATATGTTTTATTAATAAATTTATTTAATTAACAAATAATAATTATATCATTTTCTTTTAAGAATTGCAGATAGTTTTTTTTTTTTATTTTCCGTCTATGTAAATATATGAATAAATATATTTTTTATTCATATATGCGAGATCTCATCAATTTTGCTAGTCACGCCATATAGGGTAAAATACTTTTTCCCATCCAAACTATTACGGTTTTGGCGCATCACCACATAAACTATTTTTTTTAACAGACCACCATATAAACTATACGGGTTTGTCAATGTGTCCCCTAAACCGGATATAAAAGTGGTTTAGGGGCACATTGACAAACCCGTGATAGTTCATATGGTGGTTTGTAAAAGTATTTAGGGGGCACATATGGTGACCAAACAACTTTTTCAGTCAAAACCACTTTTATATTCGGTTTAGGGGGCACATTGACAAACATGTATAGTTCATATGGTGGTTTGTAAAAAAAAATAGTTTATATGGTGATGCGCCAAAACCGTGATAGTTCAGATGAGAAAAAGTATTTTACCTAATGGTTATACAAATATCCCCGGCCTATATTATTGCAGTTGCATGCATGAATGATATTTATAGTTTTCTAGGCCCATATTATGGTGCGCAATTAAAATTAAAAAAAAAATAGAAAAAATCAAGTTGTCCAACAGGGTTGGCTCAAGTGGTAAAGCAGTTTGATGTCGCTTAAAAAAGATCTTGAGTTTAAATCCTTGTGGATGTAGAAAACCTTTGTTGGGAGACTCACCCACCACTGCCAGTTGTGCGATCCGGGTCGACCAACGAATTAGTCGGGCATAATTCCAGATACCGTGGCTGGCTACCAC